ATTTTTTAAAGGTTTTATTAATTTATTTTTAGAGATAGGAGAAAGCAGGGAGAAAGGGAGAGAAATTTCAATGTGTGGTTGCCTGTCATGTGGACCCCACTGGGGACCTGGCCTGCAGTTGAGGCATGTGCCCTGACTGGGAATCTAACTGATCACTTCCTGGTTTGCAGCCCACGCTCAATCCACTGAGCCACACCAGCCAGGGCTTGTTTTAATTTTTTAAATTTATTTTTTAGAGAGAGGAGAAGGGAGGGAGAAAGGAGAAGAAACATCGGTGTGAGAAACATGGATTGGTTGCCTCTTGTGTGCACTTCAACTGGGTACTGAACTCACAACCCAGGTATGTGCCCTGACTGGGAACTGAACTGGTGATTTTTCACTTTGTGGGAAGACACCCAGCCAACTGAGCCACACTGGTCAGGGTAATATACACAGCTCTTTAAATGAATATTTAGCCCTGGCTGGTGTAGCTCAGTGGACTGAGTGCTGGCCTGTGGATGAAAAGTTTGCTGGTTCAATTCCCTATCAGGGCACATGCCTGGGTTGCAGGCCAGTTCCCTAGTTGGGGGAGTGCAAGAGGCAACCTGTTGATGTTTCTCTCACACATGGATGTTTCTCTCTCTCTTTCTCCCTTCCCCCCCCTCTCTAAAAATAACTAAATAAAATCTTTTAAAAAATTAGTTAATATGTGAATTAATTACAATAATTAGTTCCTCTGTTTCATGAGGCACATTTCAAGCTCTCACTTGCCACATGTGGCTGGTGACTACTGTCTTGGACACAAGAGCTAGAGAACATTTCTGTCATCGGAGAGTTTACTGGTCACTTGCTGGACAGTGCTGCTCCAGAGAACTCCAGGCCAGCCGTTATTTAGGAAGGGGACAAAAGCTCGGCCGTGTCGGGAAAGCCCTCAGCACGTGCGGTGGGTCCCCCAGCAATAGTAACAGATCCAAGAGCTGCCCCTCTTGGAAGGGCGTCTGCATGTACTGTCCCGTGTGCGTCTGCATGTTTCATCCCTGCCAGCCATCCCTCCGGTTTCTTAGGGGCCTCCGCTGTGGAAGGAAAGAGCCTCATCGTGTTCCTCACCAGGTCATGCAGTCATTTGACTTAGGGTGGCCCGCTCTGCACTGAATGAGCCTGCACTCTTAGAGATGGCACCCAAGAGGCCCTGCCCTGGGTGGAACAGAGAGACATACGTGGTCCTTCCCGTCACGCACGGAGGTAGAACGCCGACACCAGGCCTCGGGGTCAGGCCGGCGGTCTTGGAGGGGTAAGAGGGAGCTGAGACCCGGAGGCGCAGGTGTGGCAGACGGGAGCCCCCGTCGTGCCCGGAGGGTCAGCTGGTGAGGTCAGTCAGGCCAGGTCAGCTGGGCCCAAAGGACCAGCGAAAGCCCTTGTGCCTGGCACTGGGGGTCCGGAAGGGGCTGGGGCTGTGCAGTGGGAGCAGCCACCGGGTGGGAGAGGATGTGGGGGATGGCTGGGTGAGTTCAGCTGTTGGTGATTTCACGCCTCCTCCTCAGCCACTTCTTGGGGACAGGCTCCAGTGGTGGGGCCCAGGTGCCAGGGAAGGTCAGATTTCCGCAGCAAGAGAATAAAAGGAGATTTCCTCCGGAGGGGGCCCTCTCCCCCTGAGAGAGCTGCAGCTGCCTCCCTCTGGGATTAGGCTAAATCCTACAGCAGGTGGAGGGGTGGGAGGGGCCTCCCACCTCAGTTTGGGTCGAAGCGTGGGAAGGGGCAGGCAGTGCAGCGGGTGTGTGCACCTGAGTGTGTGCACCTGAGTGTGCCTGTACTTGGGAATGGGTCTCCGTTCAGCGCTTTACTGCCCCTCGGGTCTCCAGGTGTGGCCCTGGGGGGACACTGACAGTAGCTGCTGAAGTAGGTCAAGGGCTCTGAAGCCGTGGGATGGACGTGGGCAGTTTCCCTCCCTCGGGGAGCCCAGAATTGGGGGCTGGGAGCTGCTTTTCACCGAAAATCTTTTTTGCCATTGGAGTTTTTGTTGAGCTGTTTCAGCCTCGAGCACGCAATGCCCCTCTGTAAAATCTCAGTTTCCGAAATGTGGCCCCCAGACCAGCAGCTGTGCGCCTGGGAAACCTGTTAGAAATGCACGTTTCCAGGCTGTGCCCCGAACCTACCCAGTGTGAGAGACTCTGAGGTGGGACCCGTAGCCCAGGGTCTCCAGGTGGTCCAGGAACATGCTAAGGGTTCAGGATTCATTGGAAACCCACCCAAGCAGAGCAGGCTTTCTGAGCCCCTCCCACAGGGTCTCCGTATGCCGGCAGGGGGCGGGCACCTGGGGAGCCAGGGGAGGCTGCCTGAGAAATAAGGTTTGAGTGACACGTAAAAGGTGAGGAGAGCTTAGCCAGGTGATGCGGAGGGGTGCTCTCCAGGAAAGAGAAGCCCTTGTAAGGGTCCTGAGGTGCCAGGGAGTGAAAGCCAGGGGCTGGGGCCCCAAAGGCTGGGCCGGCTCCCCAGTGCTGGGGACTCCGGAATGTCAGTCCATTCACCCCTGTGCGTGGTCTCCACGGACAGAGGTCCCTGCTTCTGTGAACCCAGAGCCTCCCCTGCCCTTGGAAAGGCCAGGACACTCTTGCTCTGCGTGGGACAGGCGCCTGGCGACCGGTACTCTTCCTACCAGTACTCTTTCCGAGTCCCTGTTGTCCTTAACCGGGCCCCAGGACAAGAGGGCCTTCCTGTGAGGCCTTCCTGAGGAGGGAGCAAGATCCTGGCAGCCTGGCCCTGGGTCCTCACCTCCGGGGCCCAGTTGTTGGCCGAGCACTTAAAACCCGTCCAGGTGTGGCAGCGTGTCAGGTTCGAGGGTGACTGCGGTCATAGCGGCCTCCCCCACACTGGGGACCACCCGACCCTCCTCGAAGCTCCTCCTGTGCCTGGGCTCTGGCTGTCTGTTGATGGCTCCTGCCCAGAGCCCTGGCTGATACACTCAGCCACCAAGTGGCAGTGTCCAGAGGTGACCAATGCTTTTCCTACAGCTTCCCGAGCCCCGTGTCACAGGCCAGGAAGCCACTCAGAACCTAGGCTCTCCAGGGGTCTGGACTCTGCCGTATGCCCAGAGCAGGCTGAGGGCAGGGGAGGTGGGGCAGCCCAGCTTACATGGGAATTAGCAGCATCTGTCTCACTCTTACATGCGACATCAGGAATGTGGAAGGGCCCCAGCTAGCGTGTGCCTGCCAGGGAGGCTGGCAGGGAGGGACACAGGGTGGGCAGCTGAGCCCCCTCCTGGCTCCTGGGACCTGCGAGGTAGCAGCTGCCCCTGTCACTCTCTGAGTGGCCTGGCTCTGGTGTCCCACATGTGCAGCACCCTGGGCCCGTGACATCCCCGTGTCTCCACCATTAATTGGGAAGAGCAGTCTTCATCTGGTGAGGCTGTGGTGGGGGTGGGTTCCCCGTGGGGAAGTGGAAATGGGGCTCTCATCCCTCACCCCCTGTCCTCACACGCTACCCCAGACAGTCCTGTCCCTCCAGGGTGGGTTCACAGGGACTTGTGCCGGCTCCGATTGGCTGGGGTGACGAAGGATGTGGTCAAGGGGGTGACCCCCCTAGTTTGGGGGTGGAGCTCAGTCCGAAAGTTTAGGGGCTCCAGGGAAGCAGTGTGGGTCCTTGAGTGCAGGAGGTGCGGAAAAGCCAAGGGTCACTTTAGGCAGCTGCCTCTGGAGCCAGCTGCAGGGAAATGAGTGAAGGGGACCTTGGGCTGGAGGGGGCGCTCTGGCCACTGCCACCGGCTCTCAGCGAGACACTCATTGTGACCCACCTGAACTCTGCATGGTGTCCGTCCCCAAGTATGTGCTTGTGCACGTCTCTTCTCACCCTCGGCTCGGCCCAGGGATGCGGGCCGAGCCGGGGCTCCCACGCAGGCTGGTGAAGGTAGTGACCGGCAGAGAAGTGACAGCGCTGGCCACAGGGCCCTGGGAGTGTCAGGCTTCTAACGCCCTGGCTCCAAGTCTGCTGTTCTTTCCACCTCCTTCAAGAAGGGGGTTCCTGGGGGGAAGGAGATGGTTGGGGGATGACTCCCTGGTTTGGGGCCTGTGCCCTCTCTGAGACAGGGAGCTCTGGGGGAGGTGGTTTTCGGGGGAAAACGAGTGGTTCAGTTTGGCGCACACTGAGTCAGAGGTGTGGCTGGGGCATGAGGAGACCGGGAGGAGGCACGAAGCAGGGCCAGCAGGTGCTGCTGTCTTCCAGGGAGGCCCGGCTCTGATTCTTAGGTCCCCTCGCTCTGGCCCTGTGTGTGTTTTCAGCCCTATGGGAGGCCATGGAGGCGACCGTGTGGTGTTCACAGAGGGTCTGTCCCGGTTGGGAAGTCCCATGCCGGGGGAGCAGGGCAGGGGAGAGCAAGCACTCTCCGTGTGGGGGTCAGGGGCTGGAGAGCAGCAGTAACCCCTGGGATGGAGCCCACAAAGGTTCTGGGCTCAGAGCCCAAAGAAGCTGATCCTTTTTACCCCCCTTCCCCAGAGGGTGTCTGAGAACAGGGCCATAAGGGCTCCTTAGAGGAGGACCAGGCGGCAGGGACAGCTGCGGCGCAGCCGGGAGGGTGGCAACCAGCTGCTGCTGGGGAGACTGGCCAGGGCAGGCGGGGTGGCGTGGCCCCTGCAGGCCCCCCAGCCCTAGCGGCAGGGCGTGGGAGCAGGCGCAGACTTGAAGCCGGGTTTCAGGCTTTCATGCTGCGTTAACTGTCAGCTTGGTTAATGCTAAGCAGGTGGGGGAGGGGCACTGCCAACTCCCTCTGTGACAGGCCCAGGTCACACATGTGCACAGGGGACAGACAGTCCTGCCTGGTGGACAGTGTGTGTGGACTCTGCCCACCAGTGCTCATCCCCACCATCGAGTACACAGGATGGTGCCGGCAAGAGGCAGAGGCGCCGCCGGGCCCCTTGGTCCACCCTGAGGCAGCCGGAAGTGGGTTGGTCTGTGGCCTAGGCAGAACTTCCAGCTTGGGGGTTCCCCCTCCATCCTATGCAAGGAAGACACCAGGCACACGGAAGTTTATTTCAAAAAATAATTTATAAAGACCATTTGCTTCTGTGTTTGGGGCAGGCTTCCCACTTCAGCTAGAGCACAGGGGCCGATGCACCCTCCAACAAGACGCTGGGGCAAGCAGCAGAGGGGCAGGTGGTAGGGGAGGCCTGGGGGAGGGTTCAGAGGCCCAAGAGCTCTCTGGGTGTCGGGAGCAGGGAGGTCTGGGGTGGCCCTGCAGCCAGGTCCGCCGACCCCTGGAACTGGGGCCAAGCGCCAAGGCCCAGGAGGCCAAACAGCTGTGTCCAGGCCAGAGCTGGAAGCCTCCACCAGGGACCCTGGGACCAAGGACAGACCTCCCCAAAGCGGAAGCAGAGATCTGGGGAGGCACCCTGCAGTCGGAGGGGACTGTCAAGGTCAAGCACCACGGGGTTGCGACAGAGCCAGGTGGCCCAAGGCTGCTGGCTGTCCTGTCTGCTCAGACCCCTGCCCCCACTCAGGTCTGTACCCCGGGGAAGGAGCAGGCGCTGGGCTCGAGTGGCAGCGGGTCATGGCTGAAGACTGAGTCACTGGAAGAACAGATGCTGCTGGCGTCCCCACCGGTGGGCGCGTAGGGTCCAAAGGTCAGGCGGAGGTCCAGGTACTGTGGGGAACAGTGCTGGTCAACCGGGATGGCTCAGAGGAAGCCCACAGGGCAGCGGGCAGGGGAAGGTCCTAGGACAGGGGAGGAGCCGTACCTCCTCGGAGATGGCCAGCAGGACCTTGTCCAGTGCCTCCACCAGCTGCTTGAAAGTGGGCCGCTGAGAGGGCGCCGCGTGCCAGCACTCCCGCATCAGCCCGTACCTGGGGGTGGGGGGCAGAGTCGGAGGGACCCGCAGCCCCTGGGGTGGGGGCGGGGCTTCCTGAGGGGAGGGGCCGAGGCGGGTCAGAGGGTGAGGACTGGATAGTGTGGGGAGGCGGGGGCGGGGCCTCACAGCTCTGGAGGGCAGTTTGGGGGCCGGTCCATCCGGTGCCCCTCCCGCAGCAGGGAGAACAGCTCCTCCACAGGGATGCCAGGGTACGGGGACCCCCCGAGGGTGAAGATCTCCCACAGCAGTATTCCAAATGACCACCTGGAGGCAGGACCAGGGCTCAGCAGGGTTCAGCTTCGCTGCCTGCTCCTAGAGCTGGGATGAGGGTCCCTGTGGGCATGACCCACCAAGAGGGGTGGGGATCGGTACTGTTGGAAAAGGGTCTGGTCCCAGTCAGGTCCCAGGGCTACGTGACCTTTTCTGTGGGATAGCACCATGATCCTGGCCCGCATTGCCCCCCCCCCCCGCCAGGACTCACACATCGCTCTGGTGTGTGTAGACCCGGTCAAATAGGGCCTCCGGTGCCATCCACTTGACAGGCAGACGGCCCTGGGGGCGGGCGGGCGGAGTGTCAGTGGCAGTCCCACAGATCCCGCCTGCCCGCTCCCACTGAGCCCCGCCCCGCCCCCCTCACGTTGCTGGTTTTCTTGTAGTAGTCAATGTGGTGGACGCCACGGGCCAGGCCAAAGTCAGCGATCTTCATCACGTTGTCCTCTGTCACCAGCACGTTTCGGGCAGCCAGGTCCCGGTGGATACACTGGGGACAACACAGGGTGGGGACCTGTGACAGGTCCTACCATGTGACAGGCGGGGACATCAGGGTTCAGAGAGGGGACCCAGACAGTCCAACCTCAGGGCCCTCCCCTGCCCCACCCGTGGGCTTGGGACCATGTGAGGGCCCAGGGGGGTGTGTGTTGTCAGCACCGTCTGGAAGGACTCCAGGCAATGAAACACGGGAGGGAGCGAGGGAGGAGGGGACACTCCGAAAGGCGTGGAGATGGAGCACTCTCGAGTGGCCCGGAGAGCCACCTACTGCCCACACCTTCCGAGACTCCAGGTACTGCATGCCTCGAGCCACCTGGTAGGCGCAGGAGACCAGGGCGGGGAAGGACAGCGGCCCCTCGCTGCTCCTTGGCCCGTCGGGGCTGAGGTCGGGGCCAGGGGGGCGCCGAGCCCGCAGAAACTCCCTCAGGTTGCCCTTTGCGGCGCACTCCACAATCACGTACAGGGGCCCTGTGAAGGGGAAGGAGACAGGGGGCGGGGTGGGTGCTGCCAAGGCTGTACTTCCCACTCCAATTCGAGCCCACCCTGGCCGACCTCGCCCCACCTTCTTGGGTGCAAACACCCAGCAGGTTGATAATATTTTTGTGTCGACCAATCAGCTTCATCACTTCCATCTCAGAGACCAGGTCTGCCAAGTCCTTGTCAGAGGCGTTGTCTGAAAGGGGGATAGCCAGGGTGACCACCAAGGCAGGCTGTGTGGCAGGGGGTAGTCAGGGAGGTCTGGGCCTGAGTCCCCACTGGGCTGTGCGGTCTGGAAAGAGTTGCCTAGCCTCTCTGAACCTCAGGGTGCTCGTGTATGAACTGGAACAATGGTTCATGCCCCACCTCTGACAGTGCTTGCAAAGATTCAACGAAGATCAAGGACCTGGAAGCGCTAGCCTGCCAGTGAGGGGCCCGGAAACAGGAGAAGGGAAGAGCTCTGAGTGGGAAGGAGGCGAGTCTGCAGTGCTTGGCGTCAGTCCCTGAATGGGGTGAGAGCTCCTGGGGGCGGAAGGCAGGCTGGCGCCCCGAGGTCTGTCTGACCAGGGCCCGGCGTCCATCTGGCCTGGGAATGCAGGGAGCTGCCAGTGGGGCACAGCTAGGGGAGGCCTGGAGGAAGGCTGTGGAGCAGCGGCGGGGCCCCCAGAGCTGACCTGTGGCCCCGGGCCAATGACATGCCCTCCCCACCAGACCTCACAGCGCACATTTCTCAATCCCTGCCTCCGGGAAAGTGCCAGGTGGCCCCAGCTGTGCAGAGAGGAGGGCTGGGGTGGGGGCGGGGAGCAGAAGAGTACTCTGGGCCACTCTGGTAGGGAGGCCGGGGGGACAGCGGTGAGAGGCCCCCGTGGTAGGCCCAGCTGGGTGCTGAGCACCCTGATGCTCCTGTTTGGGGGCTGGGACTGAATTTAAAGTCGGAAAGGCTGTTCCAGAGCGGTAGGCCCGGGGCAGGGGAGGCGGAGGGTGTGATTCCAGGGCAGTGAGGTGGAGGACCGCAAGGCTGACAACATTGCTGGAGGCCAAGGTTTATTCAGGGCCAGGGCTGACAGGGGGTATCAAACCCCGGTCACCCCAGATCTTTACAGTCACCACCATCCCTGTGGGTGAGATGGTGTACACCGGCACTTCCTGTGGACCTCAGGCTCGGAGGACATAGGCTCCAGTGACTCGCCAGGGTCAGCAGCTGCGGTGGGTAAGCAGCCCAAGGGCGGGTTTGCACAGCCTCTCCTGGCTTCTGGGAGGAGCTCCGTCGGTCTGTCCCAAGGCCCAGCACCTTCCCCAGGCTGCCGCACTCACCCTTGAGCATCTTGACAGCCACCGTGCTGGCGCGGTCAGGCTGGGCCGGGTCCATGCCGAAGGCCTCTGCTCGCACCACCTGCCCGAAGCAGCCCTCGCCCAGTGGCTTCCCCAGCACCAGCCTAGAAATTGAAAAAGCCGAGGCCTCGTCCACCCCTGGGGCCTTCCTGCCTGGAGCCCATGCCGCACCCTCATTCCGTACCACATACCTGTCCCGGGGGAACTCCCACAGTGGGTCCAGAGGGAGATCAAGGCTCACAAGGCCGGCGAGCAAGGGGGGGCCGCTGGAGGAGAGACGGACGCCCCGCACCAGGGAGGAGCTTGACTTGGCTGAGGAGCCCGACTCCAGGGAGAACTGCAAAGCGGGAAGCTCGGTCGGCCTGCTGGCACTGGGCTGTGGCAGGACCGCAGGCCGTGAGCCTCACGACAGGACATGGGGGCAGGCATGGCATGCTACCTGTCGGGCCAGAGGGAAACGGGACAGCTTCTGAACCGCAGCAGGCTGCCGGGCGCGCCGGCCATGGAGCACCTGCCCGCGGTACAAGCCGGCCAACAGCAGGAGGACTGCTAAAGCCAGGGAGCCGGCCACGTACAGGATGATGTCTGTGTATCTGACGTCAGGCGCTGCTGCCGTCCAGGCGAGGTCCTCCTCTGTCCACAGGCAAAAACACAGAAACCCGTAACTGACCAGCCAGTGGTCAGATGGGGCGGGCCCCGCACTCTGGACCCCAGGCCCTGACAGCCCCCAGCACCCACAGGTGCCCACACCCAGAAATCTGCAGTGACGCCCAGCCCCACAGGGCCCTGGGCTGCACAGACAGTCTCATGGCAGCATGAGGGGGGTTTGCAATATACAGAATCCAACACCCAGGCCACACGCCATGCCCCAGGATTAGACTCCAGACCAAGGGACAATGTCCACTCAATAGGTCACAGCCCACTGCTGGGTCACTGTGGGAGGCTGCAGCCTCTCCTGGCCCTGTCAGGTGCTCACCTGGCAGCACAGTGAGCCAGGCCGACTGGTAGGAGAGGCCGATGGAGTTGCCTGCCAGACAGGTGTACTCGCCTGCGTCCTCGGCCGACACGTTCCGAAGGTACAGGACCTCCACCTCTGAGCTGTTGATGTCTGTTGTCTGGGGGTGGGAGACACATTCAGGGGTCACCGCAGGGCCTGGGGCCACACTGTGGCCAGGGAGGGCTCAGGAACCTCAGGGGCTGGACCTTCAAGACTTGCACGTAGGGGAAGCCGTCGGCCCCGAAGCTGCTGCCGTTGATGACGATGTGCTTCAACCACTGAATGTGGGGCTGGGCGTCACTGTACACCTTGCACAGCAGCTCCACGTCGCTGCCCGCCACAGCTGTGGTGTTGGCCGGGAGCCCCGCCTGCAGGATGGGCCGGTGCGGGGACCGCTCTGGGGGCCGGGCCGGGCCGTCAACCCTGACCAGCGGCACCCACGGAAGCACCCTGGCCACCACCTACCTTCTCCCAGCTGAAGGAAGCGACTTTCCTGCTACGCAGCTCAGACCCTGTCTGCCTCCTGTTAACCCTGCTTAAACCTTCCATGCAGTGGAACCTCGAGGCATGCAGTACCTGGAGTCCCCATTGCCTTTGGGGTCAAGTATGACTTCTCAGCCTAGACGTCAAAACCCTCCATGGCCTGGCTTCCCACACCCTAGGCATGTGCCTCCCCACCAGCGAACTCTATTCTTTACCCCTGAGGCCTTCACTCAGCCTGTGCCCTCCGCCGGGGTGCCCTCCCCATTCTTCCCCTTGGCTGACCCCTGCTCCCCCAGGCACAGACACTCTGAGCAGCTGGACTGAGCCATCCAAGACTGAGTCCGTGTTGCCGGCCAGACTGGGCCCTGCCTGAGGGTGAGGTCCGGGCTCCCACCCCCCACGCCGTCTCGCCCGCCCGTCCGCTCACCCAGCACGTCCAGCAGGTAGCTGTAGCGGATGCTGCCCACCGCATTCTCCACCAGGCAGGTGTACGTGCCACGATCTGAGGGCACCACACTTTCCATCACCAGGCTCCAGTGCTGATGGCGCAGCTGGGGGCAGGGGAGGGCTCATGAGGGGCCACCAGCCGGTGCCCGCCCAAGGAGAGGGGGTGGGGAGAGTGCAGGCTAAGACGAGGGACTTTCGGACAAAGGAGGAGATGACTCCAAGAAGTGCCTGGGCCCCGTCTTAGCTCGGCCTTCTCCTTGCTACTCGAACCCGAGCCAGGCTTTGGCCTGAGTCTCGGCTTCCTCATCGCAGCCGGGAGCTAGCCCTACAGGGTCTCACCATGAGAACGAGCTGCCCAAGCTTACTGATGCCCGTCACTGATCCTTCCCCCCTTTACAAATGGAGTCAGCTAAGCCAAGGGGCTAAGTCCCTTGCCAGAGTGGCAGAGTGGGGACTTGAATCAGAGCTCTCCAAGTCTGCAGTTCATGATCCTCCTGGGGCCACACAGTGGCCTGCCTTCCTCATTAGAGAAGAAACTGGGGGCTTGATTTACAGGTTTGAGGGACCTGACGGGAAAGTGAAAGTGGAGGAGTAGGTGGCCCGGGGACCCAGAGGCTCACCCGAACGCCTCCAATGCGGTGCTCCCCGTGGAAGTCCTGTCCGTCTTTGAGCCAGCGGATGGTGGGCATGGGGTTGCCGGCAGCGGGACAGCGGAACTTGACGGTGTTCCCAGCAGGCACTGCGTGCAGTTTCTTCTCCATGCGCTGGGGGTGTGTCCAGTAGGGTGCTGGAGGGGAAGGGAGGACTTATTGCCCCCGGGATGACCACCTGTTTCCACATAGGTATCTTCTCAGAGATCAGCTGGGAGGCAGGGCAATGAGTCCTTAAGGACCTCTACTGACCGTGCTGTGGGTAAACATGCCTATTTGAAGGGCCACTGTGGGCCTTAGGGTCCTCATCACCATTGCTGGAGGTCCAGGAGTCTGTGTCAGGGACAGAGGGAAGTACGTGAGGTCTAGGATGGGGGGAGTCTTTCCCCAGGTGCCCGCAGCCCCTGGCAGACCCCTTACCATCCACTGCCAAGGTGACGTTGTGCAGGACCAGCGTGGAGCCTCGTGCCAGGCAGAGGTAGTGGCCAGCATCCTCGGGCAGGAAGCTGGCAATCTCCAGGCGGCCTCTCCAGCCTCGCACCCGGCCAGCAGGCGCCAGGCGGCTACCCTCCTTGTACCAGTGGCCACCACGCTCAGCCTGCCCACAGCACAACTGCACGGGCTGCCCCAAGGCCACAGTGAGCTCCTGCTCTTGCTGCTCTGGGCTGGGGGCCAGGCAGGGTTCTGGGGGCCAAGGACAGGGTTCAGTGAACCCCACAGCCCCTGCCATGGCTGCATGTGCAGGGCAGGAGCACCTCAGACGCATGCTGGACACCTGCTGCCCTTCGACACACACATAGCCACATGCTGCAGACACTACACGCAGGGTGGTGGCCACGCCCTGATACACACCACACACTTGGCAAACAGCACCCCGCTGGGCTGGATGAGACACTGTCCAAGACACACACACACACACACACACACACACACGGCACATGCCACACCACTCTGGCTGCCTGGGCCTCCCCAGCCGCCAGTGCATAGGCCACACATGCACAGCCATGGGGCTCACCCTGGGCCTGCAAGGCCAGTCCTCTCTCGTAGACACAGGGGTAGGTGGGTGCTTTCTGGGAGCCAGACACCGAGTCTCAATGGTCGGGCTCTGTCCTGCCGCTACCACCACCCTGGGGCCTGGGCCAGGATCCTTTCCAGGTTTGCTCAGCCCCCTCTTGGTGCCCACCCTTCCCACCCCTGCCACCCTCTCCCACCTCAGAGCTCATACCCAGCTCCACTTCCTCAGAGGCTTCAAAGGACAACACTGGAGCCCAGGATGCCCCCAGGAGGACCCCCAACATGGCCAAGAGCTGCTGCATCTTCTTCCTGCTGCTTATGGGGCCCAGGCTGGGCTTCCCACCTGTGGCCTTCCTGAAACAGAGGCAGGAAGAGCTCCTGCTTCACATGCACCTTGGCTGGTGCGAGCCCCTAGTTTGCAGACGAGGAGACTGAGACAGGAAACGTGTGGCCACTTGCCCGCGCCCACGGCCAGGCCGCAGCAGAGCAGACTGGAAGCGGGTTAGCTGTGGCAGAGCCCAGGCCGCCCCCCAGTAGGTTGTGCAGGGGGCGGGGCAGGGCTTCCTGCTCTCCACCGTCCCACTGAGACCTTGGCACAGGTTCACAGAAAGGGCAGTTTTGGGATTCTTTCCTTGGACACAAGCAGAGAATAGAGACATATCTTCTGTTCATTCTTAGTGCACATAATTTTTTTTTTGCTGAATAAATAAATTTATCTCTGAAGAGCCAAAAAAATCTGAAATATAATACAAGGACAAACTTTAGCATCTGGATGTTATCTGATCCGTTCCCCACTGCTCATTAGCATCGCCGACACTTCCATGGCCAGCTTTGGAAACCCCGGCAGCCAGGAGCTTACTGCCGACAAAGCCAGCAGTTCTTCCTCATTCCGAACCAGACCCGCACCCTGGGGGCACCTTTGCTTTCTGTGTCCCCACACCGCCATCTGAGGCAACACAGGTTCTTGTAAAGAATGTAGACTCTGGCCCTGGCCAGTGCGGTCCAGTCGGTTGGGCGTTGTCCCACAACCAAAAGGTCCCAGTTCGATTCCCAGTCAGGGCATGTGCCTGGGTTGCAGATCAGTCCCTGGTCAGTGCATGTATGAGGCAACCGATGGATATTTCTCACGTTTCTCTCCCTGTCCTTCTCCCTCCCTTCCCGTATCTCTAAAAAATAAATAAAATCCTTAAAAAAAAAAAAAAAAGAATATAGACTCTGGTGTCTGACAGAGCCAAGTTCAAATCCCGGCTCTTACCAACCGGCATGTCCCTGGCCCTGTCTGGGCCACTGGCCCGACAGGACGGCTCTGAGGATAAAAGAGGATGTATGCAGGGGCTGAGCAGTGTCCCCTGACCCCATCTTCTCCCAGTAACAGTCGCCCGGGGTCTGCTCTCAGCCAGTCGCCTCCAGTTCCTGTCAGGGGTGAGGTACACACCCAACCTGTCTGGTTACACTCTTCCAAATGCCACCAAAGACGTCTCCTTCCCCTCAAAGCAATGCTTAAACCCGAGCATCAGCTGGGTCAGGGGAGAGGGGGCCAGTGTAGTCCCAGGGACCTACTGGCTATGACCTGGGCTTGGTAACAGTGGGGGCGAGCACCGGTATCTCTGGATCTACCTTGCCCATGAAGCCCACGGCATCCTCTTTCCTCGGCCACTGCTCTGTCCGGCTCTGGCTCTGAGGGAGGGGCGCTTAGCCTGTCCTGGGGAAAGCTGCTGTCTCCTCCTTCCCTGGGCTGCCCCTGCAGCTGGGGCACCGTCCCTGTCTCTGTCCCTCCCGCCTCCTCACCCCTGCCCCATTTCCAGTCCATCCTGCCTCCTCCGCCCGACCCAGGGCGGGGCTGAAGTTGTCTGTAGCGTGGGCCTTTGCAAACATCGTGCTGTGCTCTCCAGGCTCCATTCTCCAGCAGGTTTTTAAAAAGTTACAAGTCTGGCCTTGACCGGTGTGGCTCAGTTGGTTGGGCATCGACCCACAAGGGGAAGGGTCACTGGTTCGATTCCCAGTGAGGGCGCAGTCCAGTAGGGGTGCGTGTGGGAAGTGGTCATTCAATGTTTCTCTTACATGGATCTGTCTCTCCCTCTTCCTCCCTCCCTTCCTCTCTCTATCTAAGAATGAATAAATAAATCTCTCTAAAAAACCACAAGTTTGCCATGTCGCCCCTGCCCCACCGGCTTCCAGGAGGGAAGGTCCATGCCACACTTGTGCAGCACCCCAGGTGTCCCTGCCTGCCTGGGCCTGTCTGGGGTCTCCCCCATGTGCCCCTTCAGCACTGAAACCGCTGACTTTCAAAACTGGGCTTGTCTTCTCTCTTGCCCATACCTCTGTGCCCCGATTTCTCTTCTCTACATGGCTCACATGCCACTCTCTGCGCCCACCCCCAGTTTCTATGGCCTCTCCTCTGTAACCCTCCCTCCCACCTCCCTTCTGCAGGGAGCGCTGCTCCCTGGGTCCACAGCTGTGGTTAGGAGGGGCAGTGGGTAGGCCGGTGGATGTTATTTTCACCTCCAGGCTACCCTGACTTCAGCACCTCAGGGTCCATAGTAGGATCACAGACCAGGAGCGAGGGGCCTGACTCTGGTCCAACCTCCTGCACTCAAGCGCTGGGGGACCCTGGGCAAGTGACCGCACCCTTCGTAGTCTCAGCTTTCTCAATCCTACTCAGGGCCCGCCGATGCTCCAGCAGGTGAGGCACTGGCGCGCTCTTCCTCCTCCACCCCTATCTTGCCACCCTGGGGGGAGGTGCGAGTCGGCGGGTCCCTGGCTGGAGCTGTAGACAACATGCCCGCCCCCGCCTGGGTGGGCAATGAGTAACCAGCTCCGTGGTCAGGGTGCTCTTTGGACGGAGCGGGACAAAAGGCCCTGTGTGCGCTGCGGGTTACTGATTTACCGTCCCCTCCACCCCTTTGCCCAGCGGACGCCCGGGTCCCTAGTACTGGGAGCCGGCAGCTCCAGGAGCCCCATCGCCGCTCGCCCCCTGGCGGCTGGGGGCGCCGGGGTCCGCACTGAGTCCCGGCTCACCTGCAGCCTCTGCCGGCCAGCTCCCGGGACAGGGACCCCGGCTCGCCTGGCTCCTCCGCGGCCCGGGTCCTACCTTCCACCAGCTCGGACCCCGGAGCCCAGTTGGGACGGCGGAGTCAGCCGGGGCGGACGCAGCCAGGGCGCTCCTCCGCCCGGGGCTGCAGAGCTAGGAATGCAACCGCGAAAGCCGTGTGGCCGCGGGCGCCCCAGCGCCCCGCCCCCGGCCCCGCCCCCGCTGGACCAGATCTCTCCTGACAGCCGCGTGGCAGCGGGCCACACAGAATCCCACCCACCTGGAGACCAGTCCCCGAGCCCAATAGAGCGCAGCGACCCGCAGGATCTGTCCAGTCCCAGGGCCCCGCCCCAGCCCGCACGCACCCCCTCAGGCTCCCCTCTTTTGCCCCACCCAGGCCCGGCTTCGGAGTTCTAGTCCGGGCTCTACCTCCGGCTCGTCAGCCCAGGGGGACAGGACCCAGCAGTCCGGACTCCCAAGGTCCGCCTCCGCAGACCTTGGCCGGGCCTGGCTCCTCGGTCTTCTGCGCGATCGCCAGAGAGCGGCCAGCACAGCGCTTCTGCTCCCGTCCCCACCCAGTCTCTGCACAACCTCCCAAGTTAGATTTAAAATACAAATCTGACTACCAGCCACAGCGATCCCTTTCGCACTTTCCAACAGCTTCCTTTTTAAAGGCCCTGGCCGGATCATTCAGTTGGTGAAATGGTCCCACCGATAAGCAAGATTGCTGGTCAGGGCACAGGCAAGAATCGACCAATGAATAAGTGGAGCGACTAATCGGTTTCTTTCTCTCGATCTCTCTCTAAAATCAAAACATAAATTAAAAAAAAAAAAAAGATCCTTGGCACGACCTGCCCCGCAGTCTCGCCTCCACTTCTTCCTCGCTTCCACCTACTTCTGGGTCTTTGCACTTGTATTTTCTGCCTCCAGGAAAGATCTTTTCCCTCTAGGCCCTCTCTTTCCTAGGTCTCAGGTCGCATCCGCAGAGAAGCCCTCTGGACTTGCCAGGTTCCTCCTCAGACCTCTTCTGCGAGCCTGGAAAAAGAAGCGGAGTGTGGGGCGGGGCGCGGTGGGGCGGGGAGGTGGTCCCAGCGGTGAAGAGGTTCCCAGCGCAGACCGCCCGGCTCAGTGTCAGCACCAGCACACGAAGCGAGGCTGCGACGAGTTACCTACTCCCTCCGAAGCTTCATTTTCTCTGCAGGTGCAACGGTACCCTACCGTCCTCAAGGGGTTGCAAAAAGTGGACACGTTAGTGTGTGCGAGCCGTTAGAACACTGAGTGACATAGATACGCACTTGCTTTGTGATGCTACCTATAGTTATTCCTTTATTATTTTTTATTTTTAAAAAAATCTTTCAATTACCGCTGGCATACAATATTCTTTCAGGTGTACAACATATCAAGTAGATATTTATATAACTTAAGAAGTGACCCCACCTGACACCATACATAGTTATTGCAATATTATTGATTGTATTCCCTGTGCTGTACTTAATACTCCTATGACTATTTTGTTTTTTAAGATTTTATTTATTTATTTTTGGGGAGGAGGGAGAGAGAGGAACATCAGTGTGTGAGAGACACATGGATCTGTTGCCTCTCACAGGGCAACACCCCCCACTGGGGACCTGGCCGGAAACCCAGGCATGTGCCCGGACTGGGAATCAAATTGGCAGTTTTTTTGGTTTGTAGGCTGGCACTCAGTCCACTGAGCCACAGCAGCCGGGGCTCCCTGTGACTATTTTGCAACCGGCAATTTGTAGGTCTTTGTAATCCCCTCACCTTTTTCACCCATCTCCCCAAACCCCACTCATTCAGCAACATCAAAATGTTCTATGAGTTTTTATCTGCTTCTGTTTTGCTTGTTTGTTCTTTTTTTAATTCATGTATAAGTGAAATCATTTGGGATTTGTTTTTCTCTGTATGACTTATTTTGCTTAGCCTAACACTCTCCAGGTCCAGCCATGTTGTCGAAAATGGCAAGACTTCATTTTCTTAGTGGCCAGGTAACATTCCATTGTATGTGTGTGTCACATATTCTTTATTCATCAGTCGACTGAAGGACACGGAGGTTGCTTCCGAATCTCGGCTGTTGTACATAACGCTGCAAAGAACAGAGGGCTGCGTGTGTAGGACCTGCTGCTTCTTCATGCCATGCTCCAGAATTGTGTCTAAACAGTTCATTTTGGAAGTAGATGGCAGACTTCACCCCTACATCTCAAGGGCCCAGCATATGGCAGGTGCCCCCAAGTCACTCTGCTCCACGGGGCTCAGGTTCACCTTACCTGTGTGTAACAGCGGAACATTGTAACAGTGTGGAAATCCCAACCCACCCCACAATTCTCTGGATGTTGTTTCTGGAAGTGCCGACTCTGACTCATGTGTAGCTGGTAGATGCACAGCACGTTTGTGTAAGAATCCTGGGAACTAGTTTCAAAACATACAGACCTCGGCCTTCAGCCATCCCAGCTCCAGATTTGCTGACCTTCGTCCATGGAGCCCGATGACCTGGAGCCGGTAGGACTAAGCTGGGAAGACGCGCACCGGACCTCGGCTGTCTTATCAGTGTGGCCTGTGCTCTTCCGCATGTAGAGCACCTTTCAGCCCCCTCCCTTGATCTCCTTGTTCGGTTCCCCTCTACCTCCTTACAAACACCTCTGCCTCCACGGAGAGGGTGGGGTGGGCTTTGAGATTGAGTCCCCATCTTCCCAGGAGACGGGCTTTGTGATAGGAGTCCCCCACTTCCAGGTAGCCAGCAACTGAAAATAAACCACTTTCCTTTACATCAGCACCTGCCTCTCTTAGCAGCAGGCACTGCAAGCAGTTCTCTCCGGAGCATCTCGACAGCACCCAAATGGGAGGTCAGTCGACCTTTGACCTGTGCCTAACCCTCACCTGAGGTCCAAGCCCTCCACTCCTCTGAAGGCTCCTGGGGAAGAGAGAGAACCCTTCAGCTGGGGTCTTAGCTCCCCTCCCAGTTAGTCCTAGGCCGGTGGAGACTTTGGCCACGGGAAGCAACTTCCTTTCCCATTGTTATGCCAAGGAGCCTCGTCTCTCACCCTTAGTCCCCGGAGAGGGGGGCATGCATGGGGGGGGGGTGGAGGCTTCCTTTGCATAACTAAAAGGCTCGTTAAAGTGATTTGTTTCTTTTATCTTTCTTTTCCTTCTCAAATAAAAAAAATGGTCTCCTTCCAAAGATAAGTCAGAAGGGAATTGACTGTCTTTTCAAAATAGCTTGTCCTGATTCCCCTCCTCCAGGTCCCTCTTTGCTGGAGCACCCAGGAAGGTCGAGGCTCCTGACACTGGGGGTGACCAGCAAAGAGGAGACTCCTGCCCAGAGGGGGCCTCACCAGACCCCTGGGACTCCTGGAGAGACTCGGCCTCCACCTCTGGTCTTTTGCTGGCTCCCTGAGTGAACGCGGCTGTTGGGCGCAGAGCGAGCTGCCAGCAGGAGCTGGACCCCACATTTATTTTATCAGCTTCCAGGCACTTTACAGTTTCCCTGAACCAAAGGCAAGGGCTGCCTCTTGAGATGCCCAAGTTCCTTAGACTGGAGCCCCGCCCTCACCCCCAACCCAGACCCCACATCCGGACATCCCTTGTCTAGCACTTCTCTCTCGCACTTAAACCTCCCATGCTGACCCCCTGCGGAGTCTGACACTCTCCCAAGGTCATTCACTTACTCATTCCTTTACCAGCTGCTCATTTCGTGGCTTGTACTCTTCTAAATCCTGGGGGCAAGGCCGTGATCCGACCCAGCCTCTGCCCTGCAAACAGCTGTTGACACTGTAGCAGGGAAGGAGAGATGAGTAAACAGCACGGAAGGAGGGTTCCACCCAAGCTTACATCCCCCTCCCGGTCTTATTCCCTTGCTAACAATCTGTCACCAGTTGCATTTGCAGATTCTCTCAAAGACTTTGAATTGCTCTTTATTCTCTCCCGAGGACATGCTTATTGATTTTTTTAGAGAGAGGGGAATGGAGGGGGAGAAAGAGAGACAGACAGACAGATAAACTGAAACATCAGTGTGAGAGAGAAACATTGATCTGTTGCCTCTTGCATGTGCCCCGACCTGGAACTGAGCCCCGACACCCTTCGGTTTACGGGAGGACACTCCAACTAGCTGAGCTGCACCGGCCAAGGCTCAAAGACTGAAACACACTCGTGCACGTGTGCGCACACACACACACACACACACACACACACACCCCTCCAGCAGGGGCTCGGGAGCCTGCCACCCTAAGATCCTGACTTTAATCTGCCTCTGCATCAGTTTTCCCAACCAGAAAATGGGCATGTACTCCCCCACCCCCCCACACACACAACCGCCCCCCCAAAAAAGAAAGAAAACTGAAAATCAACAACAAAAACAGAAAATGGGCACACTCCTGCTTCCTTTTTTTCTTAAAAAAAAGATTTTATTTATTTCTAGGGGAAGGGAGGAAGAGAAACATCAATTGTGGTTGCCTCTTGAGCGCCCCCCTACCAGGGACCTGGCCCGCAACCCAGGCACGTGCCCTGACTGGGAACCAAACTGGCAATTCTCTGGTTCACAGGCTGGCACTCAATTCACTGAGCCACACCAGCCAGGGCCATCTCTGCTTCCTTTTCCTCACAGGTATTGGAGGAAATGAATGAGTTAAGGGATGGGAAAAAGTTTCCCAGAACAGAAAGCAGAGAAGTTCTCACCTTGGCTGAACTCCCATTGTATGCCAGGCACTTGCTAGGCTGGGCGTTATCCACGCAGTGTACCTTTTTACCCGTCCCCCCAGCCACATGGCGCTAGAGAGCCTTAGCTCTGTTTCACAGGTGAGGAAGTGGAAGCGCAGGCGGGTGGAACATTGTGGCTGCTGAAGTCACACAGCACGTGAACGACGGAGCTGGAACTTGAGCCCTAAGCTCAGGGTGACTCCACAGAGCTGGGATTGTCTATGTTAACACATCGGCACACTTTCTGCCCCGACCTTAACTGGGGCCAAGAAGGTGGAGATTCACCCGCCTGAGGATGAGTGGGGCATGGGAGCCGAGTCTGGGTGCTGCTCTCCCCGTCCGTTGGGCCCGGACTGATGGGGCACTTTGGAAGGGGTTGCAGACCCTGGGCTCCTGGAGTGCCAGGCTGGGCCAAGAGGGACTCCTGAGCAGGGTTGGGGGAGGCAGCTGCAGCCGTGGC